TATTACAGTTTCTCCAATATTATAGCTTTTACCACTTTTTGCAATTAATTGTGAAATGCGATAAGCGGCAATTAATCCATCTTCGTTCGCTGCATGTTGTTTCTTAAATGATGCAACGATTGTTGAACGATTTTGAAATTTTTTATATATTTCCTGAAAATATTCAATGGGCTTGTCCTTATCATTTGGATGCTTTGTAAAAAGATGTTCTCGCAATCGACCTGGCTTCATTGCCTCATTGGATAATGTTTTATGACACAATAAACACACTGGATGTTGTTTATTTACAACAGATTCTATGAAACCCATCTTCAGATACTCTGGCAAATAGCCACGAGCGTATTTCTTTTTTTGAGACATGGACTCACAATATTTTGTTTGAAGCTGTAGGCACATGCTCACTCTCACAAATCTAACTGCGTACTGACCAGTGCGACCGCAAACAAAAGAGCCTGCACCGTGTATTGTCGTCTGCGCATGCCTCTCGCGCATCGTGGATTAGGTTTGGGGGGGCACCGGCTACCAGCTCTGCTTGTCTGTTACAGCTGGGTGGTGTGGGGGGGGAGATGCGCGAGCTATTCTGAGATGAGGCTCTTTTGTTTGCGGTCGCACTATAGCACCATTTAATTTCACTTACGTAACGTGAACTAAACTTATGCGCAGGCGATACAAATAGTATATTTTCAGAAATTTAAATTGTCACAGGGAATTTTATGAAAACCTAATGAAAATGTTTTTAAATAATGCTATGAAATTTTTTTAAAAAGTCAATTAAATTTAAAAAAAAGAAAGTGCTTCAGTATTGGACAAAACCCCTACCGCCCACCATGAAAGCTGGACCGCCCACTAGTGGGCAGTAGGGACCAGGTTGACTACCACTGCTTTAACACCACAAAACAAATTTGAGGATAAGAAAAAAGATTGGACAAAATGAACTGCAGAGATGTCAGGAACACCACTAGAACTGGAGAGACAAAAAATGATAAGAGAAACAGAGAGAAAAAGAAAGAAAAAGATTTTCAACAAACATGAAAGGG